GAGATTGCGTATGGATGGATGAATGTCGAACATCTTTGATGAACGCCTGCCAATATGTGGTCTTTTTGAGAGAAGATATCTGCCCATTGTACACCCACCAGTCCATAAACCATAGTCCATAGTCTGTATACCACCAAAAAATGTAGTAACACATGCTTGCAAGTCTCCTCATCTTTCATACAAAGAAAACAGACATTAACCAGAACTTTTCCTCTCTTATTTAGATTATCAATGGTCAAGAAATTTTCCTGACAGGCCTCCCATGTAAAAAATGAGATCTGAGGGGGAATTTTAACCTTCCAAATCTGTTTGATCGGAAAACGGATACCATCATCTCTATACTTGTACAACTTTTTGTAGAAGGATTTAATCGAAAAGGAACTGTTGTGGGTAAGGCTCCACCAGAGAGAGTCATTGTTGTTGCCTATAGAAGTGCCAGATAAAATCCAAAGTAACTCCTCATGTACCCCATCTCTCAGTCATTTAGAAATCTCGACACCACAACATGCCACTCCTCCCCTATGCTAATCACAACAAGAGAGTGTAAATATGGAAAAAAACATACTATCAAAGTGCTTCCTTTCACCCATCTGTCTTTGCGAAACCTCACTTTATCTCCTCTTCCCATCTTTCACCTATATACTCAATGAAATTGTTTTTTCTCTAAGATGTCTTCCTCCATATACTTCTGCCTTATGTTCTTCTACTCTCTGTAGTAAGGCAACATGTATTGTCAGTATCAAATTCTGTCAAAATAATTCTCCTTCATAAGGCATCTTCCTTTTTCAAGAATCTCCATATCCGCTTACCAAGCAAAGCGTCATTCATTTCAATTAAGGAACGTAAATCCAAGCCACCAAGTGATAAAAGCTTCTTGATCTCTCTCTATACCACTAGATGATCCCTTCGACACTCCACCTTGTCTCCCTATAGGAAATTGGTCTGTAATGCTTCCAACCTCTTATGCACACTCTTCGGAATGGTCGATAGACATATATGGGGGGGTTGCCCAGTGTACTTTTTACAAGCGTCAACCTTCCTCCTTTCAAAAGTAAACCCCTCTTCTAACCTATTAGTCTCTTCTCAAAACAATCCACCACTGGATCTCATGCTCTTAGCTCTTAGATTTAGCACCAAGAGGTAATCCCAAATTTTTAATTGGAAGAACAACAGATCTCTAGCCAAGAGCCCTACCAAACCTTCCACATCATCAGAAGACCCCAAACACTATCTCAAACTTTACAAGATTGATGTTGAGTTCTAATACTATCTGGAACCTTATTAAAATACAATAGATGTTTGGTGACATACCTCTATCTGGTTCACAAAAAAATAGAGTGCCATCAGTAAAGAATAAATGTGTTACTTCTTCCCTCCTATCTCTTACCCCAGTACTCAAA